GATTTCATGTACCATTTCTATATATAATTTTCTTTGTGTCTCCCAGGATGTCTCCGTTTCCTTGAAATGTAGTTTTTAGGGGAAATAAACTATTCATACAACCTAATCCATCTCTGAATGATTGTGTTTTCTCAATTGACAGTTTTTATTGCAAACCTGAATAAGCTGTAAACCAGTACAAGGCAGAAGAAAATGTTGGATCCAAATGATTCCACCTTAGACAGGTTTTACTGTATTAACCTGAAGATGAAAATATACCCATGTGAAACTCCCATACAAGACCTGGAGGATATAAATATTGAAGAATTGGAAGCAGCAATAAAGGGACTAAAAAATCAGAAAGTTGCAAGTGTTGAAGAAATAATGCAGAAATCATTAAATATGGAAGCTTGCTCTTAAAACTAACCCCCTATCACATATTAAATGTGTGTTGGAAAAAACACTGTACCCTGATGAAAGGCAGGAAGCAAAGGTAACATCTGTATTTAAAAAGGAGAAAAGAAGTGCTAGTGAAAACTACCCAAGTATTAGCTTACTATGTACTATAAATAAAAATTGAATAAAAGGCTTGAATAGCCCTGATAGTTTAATAGAAGACCAAAATGGTTTTAGAAAAGACACTCTTGTACACATTTTTTTACCATTAGCCAGATTATAAAACAAAGAAAATTTAATCTTTAGAGCCATTTTGCTTTTGTTGATTATGAAAAAGCTTGCAATAAAGTTAAACACTCTACTTAATGGAAAATTATGGAAAAATGAGGTGATCACACCACTTAATAATGATCATTAAATCTCTATTTAAGAATTACTCTTATTTTAGAACTAGAAGCAAGATATTCCAAAGAAATAAAAACAAGTCAAGGAGTTCATCAAGAATGCAGTATCTTTCCCCAACGTTGTTTAAAATGTACTTAAATGATGTTATCCGAGAATGGGAAACTAAAATCAGGAATGAAGCTCAGAAATGGAATATACTTGAATACACTCTTGTTTGCCGTTGATCAGATCTTAATACACAAAAATCAACATATTTACAGAGGGCTGTTTATCAATTATATCAAACATAAAAAGAATATAATTTAAAAGTTTCAAAAATAAAGATTAAAAGAATGGCATTCATGGAAAAACATTCAATACACACAAAATCTTTTACCACTTTAGGATTCGACGTAACCTTCTGCACAGAAGTTGATGTTGATGAAAATATCTAAATTTTCAGAAAACATGTGGATCAGATGAAATCAAAGACAAATCGTGCAGTAAATCTTAATGAGAATATAAACTAGTTGTGCTACCAAAACGCACAAACTTTTTTGTATTAGTCTAATTTGTTAGGTCTGGGCTAGCTATTTGGACTTGCCACAACTCTTGCAGGCTGCCCAATCACTACCCAAAGTATATTTTTTCAACATTTTCTTGATTTTTCGGTTTCCTAATAGCCGAACCAAAATATTACTTAATGATTATTAAAAAAGAGTAAAATCTTGTCCTAAATAGCAATTTTTATTGAAAAATTTGGAGAATTCTTAAGAAAACAGCATTTAACCATTACTGTAATTTGAAGATCTTTTTCACAGAAATATTTTCAGTTTGCAAAAAACTTCATTTGAAATCATTTGAAGCACTTTAACTTGCAAATGCAATAGTGTTTACAAATTGCTGAAAATGTGCATATTAACGGCATAAGAGGTTTTTAAAAAATTATATTTTTGTAATTTTTGAAATTCAAAAGAATAGCATAATATGGCGTTTGTAACATCTTACAGAGTGCACCATTTCTACCAAAAGTTTAAAGAAACAATTTGGAGCCTTTTTGAAAAGAATCTTGTTTATATATTTATTTAAAATTGCAAACATTGCACACAATTTTGCACATTGCACACAATTTTGCAAACATTGTACAAAAAATAACTAGGGAGAAAAAACTTTACTTCAAGCAAAAATCTCTTCAATTTTGCAGCTGTAGGAAAAACTGGAAAAAATTTAAACTTTCAGAGTGAATCCTGAAAATTGAGACTATACCACTATTATAAGTGTATTTCACTCTATTCTTACATGAAATATAGAGAACAAATTTGGAGCTTTTTTGAAAAAATTCTGAAAATGTCCCAGGGGCTTGGTTTGGAAATTAATGTTGGCCATGTAACAGGCGTTACAATATGCCGAAATGAAATTTGAAGATCTGTAAAGAGATAAATCAGACTAGATAGAATCAAAACTGAAGAAATAAAAACAGAATTAATTAAATATTCAAGTTATCAATGAGAAGAAAATTAACTCAGACAGGAATGGCTACTAGTTGAAAGAATGGCACAAATACATATTCCAAAGCCAGTATTTATGTATAGACCATAAGGTACAAGAGACTAAGGCAGACTATTAAAGAAATGGAATTCTTTGAAGCCAGTGCAGGTGGCAAGCCTATTCACGGAGTGAAGGAGAAGGAGAAAGGAGAAGAAAGAGAAGAAGAACCAAGTCTTATTGGTCAACATAACTTCACAGATTGTATAGATATTTAGTAAGGTTTTTTAAACTGGGATTGAGAATACTAAAACATTTTGCCTGAGCTACCATTCCCCCCCCCCTTAATATCATCATTTTTGTCAATAGCATCTGCATCTTCACACTGATCGTTTCTTTCAGGTACTCCTCCCAAACTAGGCCGTCCTCTAACTTTTTAGCCCCCAACAGCCCCCCCTTTGTTTTGTGCTTTAAATTTCCCTATTTTCATCAAGATCTAGTAATCAATTTTTTCCACATTACCTATCACTATATTTATTATGTATATTAGAGAGTGAAAAGAGAGAGTTGAGGTGGCCTGTTTAGTCATGTGAGCCTTGTTTTGACACTCATTGATACCAAAACAAATTGAGGGCATGGCCAGTAAGAAACAAATAGAAATGATTTGCATTCCATTTCACAAGCATTGGCTAACTTTTACTGGGGCAGTTTCAATCCTCATTATTTTTGTTATTCAAGTGGAGAACGATCACAAGTAATACATCTGTTTATGTAGCTACAATGCAAATACACTTAAAAACTTTCTTTTTAACAATAATTATTTCCATGTGTCACATTACATCACATTAACTGTGATTAAAATTTAGTCTATTGTGAGTTTAATTAGAAGTGAAATGAAAGTAAATAATGAAGGCATTTTGAATTTCAGATTTTACGGCCTGTCTATTTTGATGGCATAATACTCATGCACATGGCATATCTTCATTTGGATACCTGGCTGTCCGGAGTGAGCCACATCGACTGAGACACGGCTCACCCCAACAAATAAATATCCAATGACTCCAGCCGCGGAAACCTACGAACATATCCTCATCCGCTTCTCTACATGACATAACTAAATTATCATGATTTCTTTTTAGGGGCAGTATTGTAACAAAGTAAATCACTCCTGAAATCTACCCCTTACTGCACTGTCTGAACTGAGCCTTTGAAGCAACAACAACCGGCACTAGGCTCATCTGCCAGGCAGACTAATATATATTGCAGTGATATGACCATCAGGGATGCCCCGTCAGGGTTTCATAACCTGCCAAAAAAATCTTCCAATTGACTGAACACACATCAGCAAGAAAGCAATTCCTTCAACAGGGAAAGAATTTTCGAGAAGGAAAACACCAATTATTATGATATACAATACAATATAAACATATAAAAAAATTTAAATAACTTATTTAACAAACAAAAAACTTCATTTTCACTCAAAAAAGTTTCAGTTTCATTTTCTAAAACTCGTCATAACCACTTTATGGAACTCTTCTGCTGAAGTTTCATTTCATTAAGAAAATTGAAGATGCTAAGTTTTATATATTCTTTGAAGTTGGAAATATTTCATTAATGTACAATTTTGCACGTAAGCAAAAATGCAAGTTTTGGAGTCAGTCTTTTCATATTTTTAACATTCACAACCAGTAACTTGCAATACAACATCAACGTAACAAAGTTCATTAATCAATAAATCACAGAGTTTAATCAATAAGTAGCCACATTTTATTACCCGATAGATTTTATTGATCGGGTGATCAACTGGGCAAGTGTGAGAATTCCATAACTTCGGTATTAACATAACTAATACATTTAATTATACAAAGGTTCAGGTAGGAAGCCAAAGATAAGACAAGAGCATAGTTAACATGCACAATAATTTTGAATAATAAACAAATTCAAATAATAATAATAATTTAAAATGACTAAATCAAAACTACGAATAAAAATTCTGTTTGAAAAATGAAATAATTGGAAACAAAAAGTACAATGGGAACAGAAAAGCATACAACATAATGGTTGCTTTTGTAGATTTAGGAAAATTCTGTACATCAAAAGCTTTGAAGTTCTTTAGTATCTTTAAATTTTACATACCCCTTTTTCAGAATTTTGTTTTGGTTTCCTTTGTTCAGAATTCCCTTCATCATCGTCGAATTCTGAACAGGAAGAGTCAGAATCTACTAACTCTATTTGAAAGTTGTCATCCGTCAAAAAGTTAATATCTGCTGAAAACATTAATACAATAGATAAGTAAAATATCTTATTTTGTAATTTTTTTAAATAGCTTTTATTTAACATAAGTACCAAAGTTATTTATTGAACACTTCTTTAACATGTTTTTATTGTTTAAATCTGTAATGTTCTTTCTAAGAACATTATTTCAAGCTTTTTATGAAAGTCACATTATAGACAATTACATTTAATATTTTTAAGAAGATAATCAAGTGTTAATAGGTCAAAAATCGAATCAAGTATCAAAATCTTTATACAGTAGAACCTTGCTAATCCGAATCCCGCAAATCCAGAATTTTGGATAATCTGAACTAAATTAAGGATGGAGAAAAAATAAACAAAATAAATAAAATGCTTATTTGTAGTGTAAAGAAAGGATCTTATAATTGTTGTAGAACTGTACAATTAAGAATTCAAATACAAGGTGCCGAAATGACACTTATTGCACTGGTAACTACAGTGTATATCACATATTCATGTAGCAGCAATTTTCACTTAGAGGAACTTGCAAAATCAATAAACTCCTTTCACCAGAAGGAACACAATCTGCTGGATGATGTGATCACTAAGCTATGCTGCCATTTCCTCACCACGTGTGCTACATTGCATTGTCAGGTAATCCTATAGATGCATTTGTGTATGGACAGTACAGTTTTTTGGACAATCCAAACACTTCTGAATCCAAACAGACAACACATCCAATAAGTTCGGACTACTGAGGTTCATCTGTATTATCAAAGATTAACAATTTACCTTCATTTTATGATACTGTAATTAGGTGAAGAATAAACTAATACATAGTATTTGGAACTGTAATGTGCAATAGAATAATATCACAACTCTGGAAACATATGACATAGCATGATGCTAAAATAAATAAATAAATATATACATACATATATTAATAATCAACAACATACATTAAATAATTATTAATATATTAAGTATGCAAGATCGATGAATCATCGATGTTACCTTCAAGAGGTTCATCATCTTCAGCTGTGGCTCGCCTTTGTATGATAGAAGATAAATTCTTTGCTTCCATAAATACACATGTTGATGATTTTCCTCCCATAACAACCAAATCATCTTTCACAAACACACTTTCATCTCCATTTCCCTGAAATAAATTTTGTGCAGTTCTTGTAAAATAATTCACAAATATGGTGTAATTTTAATTTTTGAAAGAATTTTAGGCCAAAATAATTATTCATAAATAATTCTACTTCCAAAAAAAGGGAAAAATACTAACAAATCTGCATACCTGACATGAGATATTTGCAATTGAAGTATTTGATGGACGATAACTTGACAAAGAAGTCATGCTTCTCCGAAAACCAATATCACCAATTCCATAACTTGAATACATTGATGAAGTTGCAGTGCTTTTCCTGAATCCAGTATTAAAGCGACTGGCTGTATTAGATAACATTTCTCCAGAATATCCGTCAAGAATATTGTGCTGACTTCCCCACATTTTTGTATTGAATGATGAATGTAAATCATGGTTTGAGAAACTGCGATTTCTATACATAGAAGCAGCACTTGATGGCTCTAAGGTGGGTCTTAAGAAACTGTAGTTATATGGATTTTCAGGATGAAGTGCAGATCCTGTATACAATGAAGTTGCTGATAATGACCTTCTGTGATGAAAACTACTGTTTACAGATCTTCTGCTATCATTAAGAGCTTTTTCAATGCATTTTTCAATACGATTTGCCACAAAGGCCTTGACTTCCTCTTTCCCCTTAGGAAAATTCATGGGAGATCTTAATGATTTATCACACGATCTCTCTATTTTAGAAACATTTAAAAGAGATGTGTCTTCATCTGCAGATAGCATGCATCTTGAACTCTCATCCAGAAGCTGTTTATCAAGTTGGGCACTTAAATATAATTTTGAAAATTTTCTGTCAAGTTTTCCAATTGTTGGGCTAAGACATGATTCAGACAGTGATTTTTCATTGAGAGACTTATTTTGTTTCTTTTCTGGTGTACTGGAAACCTTCAAATTAGAAGCATCATAACTAGAACTCAATTTGCACTGAGGTGAACCACATTTACTTTTAGATCCAGATTTTAATCTATTATTTGTTTCTTCTTTCTGTATGTTTGGTTCCTTTTTGTTAGACTCTTTCTGATCAACCATTTTGTTTTGAGAAACCTGCTTATTTTTGTTGCGCTCAAGTGCCTTTTTTTCAGTAATTTCAAATGGATCATCAAGTTTGCATATTTGTAAAATGACATTATCAAATGGATTATCTCCTACAGTTGAGGCACCAATATTTTCTTGAACATTGTTTGCCTGAGGAAGAGGAACTAGTGGATCTAACATATTACTCCCCTTCTTCAAGGGGCTGTTGAAATCTATGAGTGATTCGCATTCCATTTCTGAAAATTATATCAACTGGTATGACACTCAAACGACATTTAAAAACCATGAAAAATAAAGAATTCGCCAATACTTTATTCTAAGATAACTGAGTTTTAATACACAAACTTGAATATGAACATTTCAAGGACGTAAATATTATTTTGTCAGCAAAATGTAAGTTGGATACTCACTTCACTTCTTTGTCAATTCGGTTTACAATGAAGATTCCTTCTCTGTCATCAGTAATACTTTGTAATAGCTGCAAGAAAATCTTTGTTTACATAACCATAACACTTGAAACTGAATCCTTCGTATTAAATCTTTCCAACAAAAACTTAGAAACCAACGCTAAGCCGCGGACGTACTCGGACACAACGTATCAATCATCGAACCTGCATACGCCAGCATCGAACCCCACTGAAACCCCATTTAAAAACCGTTTCCTTTCTCTGGTGCTGTTTGTCACTTGTTCCTATTTAAATCTTCCTTCGGAAATGCCAACCACAGGCAATGCATACCAAAGCATACCAACCTTACAACCATTCGAAGTTGTCGTTGACAACATATTGGCCACGTTATTATACAATAACTTTTATAGACATTTATTACGCAGTACGTGTATTATAATACACAACATAGTACAAGTTTATGGACCTTTATGTTCTGCATTATTGCATTTAATCGTAAATCCGCTCCTTCTATAGTGCTTTAACCTTACGGCGCGTAGTAGAGCCATTACGAATAACTAGAAAAAGGAATTAACAAAATTATTGCAAAAACACAATCAGCTCATTCGAAAGAATATACTTTTATAAAGAATATACTTTTATAAAGAATATATTTTTATAAATATATATTTTTATAAAGAGGATTTATTTACATATTAATTTTTTTTCTTTCTTCCATGTTTGATCATGAAAATAGTTGAAATATTTTTAGTTCATTTGTGAGTGATATTTTAATAATTATTGAGGAATTAATGGCACTAGCACATTGAACAAAACACGATTTCATCATACTACTCCTGCCCTCAGATGATAAATTGTGAAGTCCTGCAGGGATCTATCCTGAAGCCAATACATTCTTCATATACTTAAATGACATGTCTTTGGTTTTAAGAAATCGCAAAATTTTATATGCAGATGATACAAACATAATTATCATAGCAAACATACCGTTAACCGTGATGAATAGGAATAGATAACAAGGTTTTTAATAATAAAACTAGTAATACAAAATATCATCAATATTTTTTTCCTGAAAGTGAAAGAAGGTTTAATCAGCTATCTTTGGAACCTAATATCATTAAGATAGCATTACTTAATGATCCGTAATTGTTGATTAAAAAGTGTCCCGATTCACCCTAAGGATGAGGTCAATAGGAACAGTCATAAATAAAAGTTCAACTCCCTATTCTACCATTAGGGTCAACAAGAACACAATATTACTTTTTAAGAACATCAAATACACAAAAACAAAAATATCTACCGTCTCTTATACATCTATCTTTGTGATCTTACTTTTAGATCACCATCAACTTGTTTCAATTCTTCAAAATAACAATCAATGTCCCATGAAGTGACTTTAGATTTTCCCCATGTCAGATTTTGACAAATCCAAGAGTAAATTTATCCTTATGCCTGTTGAAAGACTGAGCCCAATATGACCCTGGAAGGTGTTTCTTAAACTACTTCATTACTTTCCCCTCCCTGCCCAAATGATATTTAACAAAACTTCGCAAATCAAAGGTACTCATTAGACACTTCCATCTTCCACAACTTACAACACTACCCTCAATCATCACCAAGGGCTGTTTGGCCTCCTTTCATTTTTCTGTTTACAATTTGAGCATTTTACTGTATTGCTGCTATGCAGATTGCTGCAGTGCATTTTCTGGCTTTTTTGGGGCAATTTACTTGTAAAGACAACCTCTGAAATTACTCTCATACTGTTTAACCACGTTGTCCCTATTCACCCCTAAACAAAAAAAAAAAAAAGGTCAGCTTGAGAGAAAATATGCAACAGTTTATTTCAAAATTAATATTACAGCATAAAAATACATGCATATAACTTAGAAATAGAATCACTATTTACCAGAAATATTTTGAAATTATTTCACCAACATGTCTTGCTTGTACAGAGTAAATTTTGCTATGAACACTACAATAGTAACAATAACACCTTATCAATTTCAGCAATATTCCCAACCACTCAAATGATTCCAAAAATAATACACACAATTATCAAGAATTATAATCTCATACTAATTTTATTCACCAGATGGCATCAAAAACACATTATTTAATGTCATGTCAGTGCGGGATAGAACTTTTTCCACACTGGTCCCTATTCACCCAGGCTCATGGTAACAATTCCTAGAAAAAGAAACTCATAAAACCTTGCATGCACTAGTACAATAGTTTCAAGACAACAAAGTTAATAATCAACACCAGCAAGATAGTATCTCTAAATTTCAGGAATTCCTGAATCAGAGAAAAATTCTCACAGTGTTTGCTCATATAATAACCCTGAAACAATATCTCATGAAACTATCTTCCTAAACTGGAATGCTCACATCTCAGGTATTATCACGAAGCTCACTAAATTAAATACAAAAATTAAAACTTCAGTATTTTGTAGAGCCTCCATTACTTTTTATGACCTCTTCCAGTCGTCTGGGCATACTGCTGATAATTTTTTTCACATAAAGTGGGCTTAACTCCTCCCATTCTTGTTTCAGCCGGTCAGTTAAATTGTTTACTGAATCTCAGTGCTTCCTTCAATTTGCCCCATACATTTTCAATGGGGTTAAGGTTGGATGATTGTAGTGGAGTTTCCAAAACTTTTCGACAGTTGTAAAGCAGCCATTCCCTTACGATGTGTGCCTTATGTTTTGGATCGTTATCCTGATACAGTTTGAATGAATTTCGTTGAAGTTGTTCCTCAGAAGGGTCAAGAAGTTTTCCTTCGTCATCGTGTTTTTAATGAAAACTAATTCGACCACACCACACGACGCAACCCACCCCCACACCATCGCGTTTCTCCTCCGTGTTTGATCGTCCACTGGGTGTTTTTGGCTTTCAACTCTTTTCGAGGGTTGCGCCACAATAATGGTTTTCCATCGGAACCGAAAACGTTGAATTTCGACTCGTCAACGAATAAAACATTTTCCCACCATGTTGTGTTTACCTATGCTTCTGTGAATGTAAGTCTATGTTTCACATTGTCAGCACTATGTACGGTTTCCTCCTTGATCTTCCACTGTAGTACTCGTTCATTCGCAGTGCTCTTACAAGTTTCTACTCCCACCTCTTTCCCTCAGACATCAAGCACTGCTGCTGCAATTTTCGGAGCACTTTCCTTCACTTTGCGCACCACAAACAGTTCTTCTCGGTTGTTTATATTTCTTGGTCTTCCTGTCCGAGCTATTGATTCAATCCTGTCTTCATTCTTAAATCATCGAACAACATCACTAACTGTACTTCTGCTCATGTTTAGCATCTTCTATATTTCTCTATGGGACTTCCCGTCAGCTTGAAATATCACGAGCTGCCGTTTTTCAAAAGTTGTATTATGTTTCCTTTTGCGCCCCATTACAATAACACAAATGGTAGTGACAAAAATAATTCAAATAAATGATTACTGAGATATACAGTGCAGTGCTGCCGAGCTAGTAAACTGCAATTGAGGCTTCATTTTAAGTTCCTCCCAAGAAGAAAAAAAGTCTTCTAAAATAACTTTCGCAGTAACAGCCTAACCAGCACTGGAGAGACACTTTTTTAAATAAGTTTGGCCATGCCTTGGAAGATAAGTAACAGTGATCACAAAATGTATCTGACGTGAATTTACGGTTCTGAACAATTCCAACATATAATGTGATCATAACATCAAAGATTTAACGTATTTCACGCGTAGAAATATGTTAAATTTATGGTAAGGTTTCATTCAACTTGCGTTTTTGGCTTGCACACGTACTCATTCATTTGGCTCCATACACACAAAATTGTTTGAATATTGTTTTATAAAATAATGATTTTTGTATTTTTAATATTGTATTTAACTTCCAATTGTACCTGAAGATGGAGACACAACTTCAGCTCTGAAATTTAAATTTGAAAAAGTAAAACACAATGTGCGTTAATTAATTTTATTTAATGTTTTATTATCTTAAAAAAATAAACCTGATTATCTAAGATATAAAATTGGAAAATGTATCATTAAAGTAATTAACTACATACGGGAACAATATTTATTCACATTTTCGTTACCAGGTAATAGGAGTTCTGACGGAAAAAGGTTTTACTGCTGCATTACATTACTTTCTCTATACTGCGTAAACCGTGCGCGAAAAAGTAAAAATATTACTACAGTGCAGGAATTGCTTTCACAAGATTGTAGATAGGGAAAGAGGTTTCGATATAATATATTTATACACATATATGCGCATGCATCTTTAGTCTGAAAAAGCTACTTATCCTAATATGAATTACGAATATTACTTGCAAGTCATTTGTTCCTTCTTCTAATTTGTCACATTTTCATTCAATCCATGCAATTATAGGGTAATAAACATGCAAGATTGGAAGGCTTAAATTCCATAATGACTGCAAAGGAGTTCACATTTGATTGGGAAAGTTAGTGACAATTTTTCAATGAAACATATTTATTGAGCTTAGAATGCTACCATTGATTTGCCAATTCATTTATGAATCGGCGGTATTCCTCAAAAGTGACTTACTCAAGTATATTTTAATGCAACACAGATTTCTTCTTTGACTTCTCCAGCTGAACGGAATCTATCCTAAGGTTACAGAACGGGAATCTCTTACGGCATCTGTAATAAAAATATATGTATTTAAAAAAACAACACATACAATTTTTTCAAGCATAATAGTATATTACGTATGTGTTACTCTATTGGCATTACTTTCATAAAACAATGAATAATAAAGCTCATAATTTGTCTGACACGTACTGAATGATACATGAAATGGCCCAATACTAGATTGAAATGAAAGAAGTTACGAACTAAACACAATAATAGCAATAAACAATAGCTGTATGACTGAAAGTATAATTATTTCATAAATTCGATAAAGGAATCAACTTGGCGTAATATATTCCGCTCTCACCTTCCCGGCTCGGAGGGACCCCTGAAGAAACGTTTTTCTTTACGCTGCCGAACAGTCAAACCTGCGCCTCATGAAGCCCAACATTTCGACATTGTAGTCTACGATGCTTAATAACAAAGCATTCCACCAAACGACTCGTAAACGAAATGGTACAATAAACATTGAGGAATACAATGCAATAAATATTTTTATGATTTATTTGATATTTTTTGAGATATTTAAAGCAAAAACTATGTATTCATTAATGAAAGTGTTCGGAAGGACGAATGTTCCCTGGCAAACAGGTACAGGTTCTGC